GAGAAAATTCAGGATTGCTTATGTACAACTGAAAATGAACAAAACGGTGAGCAAGATGCAAAATTACCATCATGGAAGCTTGCAGATACAGTAAGATTGTCATATTTCACATTGTTGGCGATCAGCATTAGAACATCCGACTGAACCTCTAGCGTTGGTGGAGCGATTTTCTGCTGTTTCCTACGGATTACGCAGGAGCTGATATTTTTCTCTTTCTTACATGTAATAATGGCCATTCAAATGCGATGCATGTACAACATAAAATGCAATGTACTGTCCAATAAACTATTAAATAATTAATTATCTTTGCATATTGTTTGTTGTGTTTTCACAGACGATCACTGATTTAGTCTTATTCAGTGACGTTCCGGATCGCTGCTTTTCACCTTTGTTGATCAGGCGCAATATCCGCTGCCAAGTTTTTTCCTCACCGTTTGTCCTCCTACACTGCCAGCCCAGAGAGGACTTCAATATGAACTCCGACAATGTGCCTCCAAATCTTGACTTGTCCAACTTCTCTCCGGTACCATCCAGGGATCGAGGCAGCGTTCATGCCGCTTGTTGAACATCTCATCATGTGCCCTTCAACGAAGTCGCCCATCTTTTAAGTCAGTAGAGAATATCCCTCTATTCTTCTGTTGTAAACTTATAGCGAGGTATTTGTCGGCAATATCAGGCATCCGAATCGAATATTACTTGCATGGAAATAAGCTGTGCAACACAAAGGCATATATCTTAAGTCTCACAGGACAACTCGAATGTCACATTATGGACTTCACGTGCATGTTCAGCATTGCACACGCTGCCTTCGCTTATATCCGGCAACAGGTCGATAATTCACCTATAAACGGTGGTTAGACCACGAAGAATCATTCCTCAACAGCTATCTCCTGAGGTATAGTCATCCTCATGCAAAATAAACATCCTCCATGCACAATGGCCATATTTATACATGCCTAGTTTCATAAACAATTGAAGAAGTGTGTTGTTTCTGGAATAAATTATAAGTTCGTAAATCTCAGAAGGACACCAATGCCGTGTTGTGGATGT